ACACAAAGGAGGTTAAAGTTTTTTTCTGCATGAAAAAAGTTTTTATCTCTTAGGCCAAGAAAGTCAAAGATACGTGAAAATCGTCATGATAAAATCATTTTAAATCACTTTATTTATGTTTAAATGGAATCCAATTATCAACCGCTGATTTTATTAATTAATATCTGCTTTCTGAAAGATAAATAATCATATGGTTTGGAGTGGGTAAACTGTTGTTGGTTATGATTAAAGTTGCTGAAGATTAATCAGTCGACATTTTCCCTCACAAAAGAGAAACATAATTTTTATTGTATTTTCCTCACTTAATACGATTAAAACCACTAAATGTACATGTTTTATGTGTTTCAAAACTGAAGAAAAAGGCTTATATTTGTCGTCAAACTTAGGAACAAAAAACTTGGATTTTGTTTTCTGGACCAAATTCAGAGCATGATCAATGGTGTGTGTTAAATAATTTTTAATAAATTGCTAAAAAATTAAAAATAATTAAATAATATAAAAATAATTAACAATCCTAACAAAAAATATTAATTTAAGAGATTTAGAAACTCAAAATATAGATGACTAAAAAATTAAAAATAATTTATAATAAAAAAATTACTAAACAATCCAACTTATTCCCACTATTGATCATGCATGCTCTCGTACTCTTATTAACGTCTGTGTGACACGCACGTAGATTAAGGGGCACGACAAAGAGAATATATAGGAAGAAGAGATTTAGGAGTCACGTGCGCACGTGCCGTGTGTAAGACTCGAGTGGCTTTGTCTTCAATGAATGACCGACCCAGCGTCTGGTTTTGACCTTAAGCGCGTGTAAACTACGCATTAAACGAAGATAAAATTAGAAAGAAGAAACCAAAGCGCGTGAGGTATACACCAAGGATGTCGCGTGATAAATGTGGGTGGTAGAATCTTAAACAGAGAGTTGGTCTGGTTGCATCAGTCTGAAACCCTGACGGGTCTTTTGCTCCGCATTGACCGGTTCTGTTCTTTACTTACCAATTTTTCTTTCATGGGACCCACCGTTTTCTATTTTGAAATCTATGGGTTAATTTATTGAATGTCCAAATAATAGGAGCGGTGATATATAATAATGTTTAAAAAAAATTGGGGTTGCAATTTATATAGTTTTATAATTTTTAGGTGACGAAAATTTTCTTAAATTTTTTTTTATGTTATATTGTAACGAGGAAAATGAAAAAGGCTGTTATACGAAGTAAAATGGTTCAAATGAATATATACGTAAGATTGTTAGGCGGCTTAGGACAATACTATAATTGGTTCAACCTCAAATGATACTTCAAAGAAAGGGTTGATCATAGATATCCTGATTCTTCTTTGGAGTATAACTTTGATTCTCATTTTAGTGGGCCGATAAATGGGTTTTAAATTTTACTTTGGTTATCTAATTTTTTTAGATCTTCTCAATTGGGCTTAGGCTGTCACTTGTCAGGAATGTTAGAGAAAGACTTGGCATGGAAAAGAACAATAATGATGGGAAGGTTAACAGATGAAACAACATTCTGACTATTCAAGGTGCATCTAGATCCCAGCTTATGTTGGTCACATCATTTTGCGTGGTCAGTCCTAACAGGAAGCTAAAACCTATTCAGAAATTCCGGCGATAAATCTGGTAAACAAAAAGCAACTCCAAGATCACAACAAGCGGAGTGATGAGGAAGATGACTCCACATGGGGTTCATTGCATGCTTCACTGTCAGTATTGCTCATACGAGTCATACCGTCCCTAGAAAGAGGTAATTCTGTTGTATAAATCTTTCAATCCCAATTTTGTTACTTGCATAATAAAAAAAAAGGGAAGAAAATTAGTTTGACACTGACTTATTGTTTAATTAATAAACTAGCTCTTATTTTTTTTTTAATTACTAACAAGGTGATTCTCAAATTATTTATGTAGATTTGTTTTTAATTTTAGTTTTTAAAAATGTGAAATATATAGTTGTTTTGATTTTTATTATAGAAATTACTGTTGATTCTTTTGTTGTTAATTTT